AAACGGCAATTGAAAAGAACAAAATCAATGTCTTATTACAGATGTTTTTTATTTTTCAACAAATGGATATCTGGTGACACCCGGTGTCAGTTTTACAGTACAACATACACAAAGTATCATGTGTATGTGACCAATGCTGGCTACTTTCTTTTGATCTTCTATTCATGTGGATCCTTAGAACTAAATTGTATAAATCCACCTCTTTTACTAGACTTATATAAATGCTTCTACAACTGTTTTTTCCCGATAAATTTGACCATTCATTTCATGTGACATTTGCAAATCTCTTGATCAGAAATCTGAAAGACACTCTCTTCTGTTTTTTTAGATTTTTCTGGAGAATGATGAGATTCTAATGATCCTTGTTTAATTTGTCTGTAACATCAAGATTTGGTACAAGTTAGCTGAGGCTAAATATAGGATGTGTTGCAGTTGGAATTCAAAGCCATCTTGAAAGGTTGTTCTCATACCACATGAAAATAGTAGAAAGTAGAAATTCCAGATGTGTCCTAGTAGAATGACCTGTTGGAACCCATGGAAATCGTTGTAAATAGTTCAGAATCTAAGATTATAAATTGGGAGAATAGTCCCATATTATTTATTGCCCAGTGAAATTTCAGACTGAAACATGCTGGGAAGGAGGAGTACTAACACTGACTTTTTGTGGACTTGTGAAGCTTTTGAACTTTATTTTCTAAATGCAGAATTTTCACTTTTATGTATGTACTCCAGTTATCTAAGTGCACTTGGTTTTATAAGAACAACAAAGAACAAATGGCTACGCCACAAAAGTACAGGAATGACAATAAAGTACTATCTTAAAAAATAATCCGTAGGTGTTCAGGTTCGTACGGAACATTAGGTTTTTTTGGACCCCGGACCCGAACACGGACCTATCACTGTATGTTCGGTGTTCGGCGATTTAATGGCACATTTTCAATGGCATAGCTGTGATTGGCCAGTGCACCATGTGGCCCAGGCTCTATATATAAGCTGGAGTCGCATAGCGCCGCACGCACATGCTGCCTTATTAGTGTAGGGAGAGGATGCTGCCACTGATAGGGACAGCTTAGGAAAGAATTCGGCAAAATAGTACATTAGTGGGGTGGGGTGCACTTCATATCTGAGAGTCAAATAGACGCTTCAAATACCACGGTTACATCAGAGTTTTAAAAAGTAATTTTTATTTTGGTGCTAAATAGTACATTAGTGGGGTGCACTTCATATCTGATAGTCAAATAGAATCATCAAATACTGCTGTTACACTGCAGTTTTAAAACTTACATTTTTTTGGGTGCTAAAAAGTACATTAGTGGGGTGCACTTCATATCTGAGAGTCAAATAGAAGCGTCTAATAGTGTGCTTACTGCGCACTTGTAAACATTCTAATTGTTTTGCTGCTAATCTTACATTGGAGTTTTCAAAAGTAACATTTTTTTTTTTCTAATTTACATCGGTCTTGTAATATTCACAAAGATAAAAGGATGAGACAGCGCTTAATTAACTTATAGGCAGCAACCTTAAAAGGGGATCCCTCAAAACCCTTTAAAATAAGGTGAATAAAAAACAATAAAAAAGGCTGCGCCGCAATAGATAATAAAAAATATATAAAAAGTCCAATAAAAGGTCCAAAAAAGGGAGAAGATCCCAATGTTTATCCTTACAAATAGTCTTTGGTGGTGAGGTCTTCTACTGATGTGGTGGATCCACTTATCCTTATCTTATGAATACAGTAAGGAGTCTATTAATTTCTTAGATCTTAACATTTTTATCAACAAGGGACAACTTCAAACAAAAACTTTTTTTAAACAAGTATGTGTTAATACGGCTATAGACAAATCCAGTTGCCATTATAAACCTTGGCTTGAGAGTGCTCCAAAGAGCCAATTCTTGCGTCTTCGCAGAAACTGTTCAGAACTTACAGATTTTAATGAACAACCAGAGGTTTTAAAAAATAAATTTATGGAGAAAAAATATTTAGAATCTGATCTAAATGCCACAATCAGTATAGTAAAGCAGAAAGAATGAAATGAACTTCTAAAGTATAAAAATAAAGAAAATAATGAACCAATATCTCTTCCAGTTATTTTTAATTTTAATAATAAAAGCAATAATGTTAAAAAAATAATAAAAAAACATTGGCATATACTCAAACATGATGAGATACTTAACCCTATCATACCCATTCATCCTAATATTGTTTTTAGAGGAGCACCTAATTTTAAGTCTATTTTAACCAAAAATTTTACTAAAAAATCTCCTTCCAAAAATGTATCTTTCTTTCCTCAGACGAAAGGTTTTTATAGATGTAAACAATGCATTGTATGTAAAACCACTGATCATTCTATTCCATCTAAAATTACAAATTTTATGTCAAATAGGACTAAAAAAGTGTACAATATAAATGATTTTATATGTTGCAATACAAAATTTTTTATTTATCTGCTCGAGTGCCCGTGTGGCCTCCAATATGTGGGGATGACCACAAGGTGCCTAAAGATAAGACTGAGCGAACATTGCAGAAATATTAAAAATGGATACCTGAATCATACAGTATCCAAACATTTTATTATGCACAACAGAGATCCACGTCTATTAAAATGTATTGGTATAACCAAATGCTCTATTTCTTGGCGTGGAGGTGACATGAAAAAGATGCTTGGAAAAACAGAGATGGAATGGGTGTATAAACTTCAGACTCTTATACCCCATGGTCTTAATGCAGATTTTGATTTACATAATTTTTTATAAAATTTTTTTTTTTTTTTTTTATAATTTTGCTGCCTGTACCTTTAAAAAAATTAAGCTTTTACTGTTATTTATGTATCTTTTATTTAGGCATTTTTGTTTTGTTTTATTCTTACTTTTTATGGTTATAAGTTCATGTATTTAAAATTGCATATTGCCTTTTTCTAGTATATCTATTCTAAGTACATTTATCTGCTGTACTTGTTTCCATTACTATAGGTGAAACTACATTTCCCTACATGCATTGCGGCTATATCTTCCGATTTGCGGAAGTGCCGAATCTCATGTGACCTATTTAGATCCGTTTTTAAGTCTATTTCTCCTTCTCGTTTTTAATCTTTAACTCTATTTATCATCTTGTATAGGCTAAAATTATGCAATCCTTTATCTATTTTATTGTTATATGTGGCCGCTTTTCGCGGCCATTTTTAACTACATTTCCCATATGGCATTGCGTCCTACTTCCGAAACGCGGAAGTGCTGTTTGGACATGTGACTTTCTATTAATGTCTAAAAACACATTTTAACTCCTTCGTTTTTGATCTAAATATATCAACATCATGTTACAGTACTATTATTTATATATTTATTAAGTTATTTATGCAATTCAATGTTTTATCTTGTTTCTAATTCTAATTGGTTGTACCATTTTTGGCGCCAAATTCAAATTAGTTTTATCCCTATATAAACATCTCCTAGCCAGGTATCTTATGTAAATCCATTTGAGAAAGTCTTTTTTTTTTGACGAAACGCGTTATGGATATATAATATTTGTGTTCTTTTATATATATTAAAGTATTTTTGGTCATCTATTTGTGCCAATCAACTTTTTTAAAGACACATAACCTTTCCTTTTACCCTGGCTTTTTAGTATTATTTTTATTGGTTTTATAAAAACCTTTGGAAAATATCCCTGGAAGTTTCCTGTACTAAAAGAAATCCTTAGGTGGGGATCAATCCACCCAAGCTATCATCACAGAGCAGTTGGCCTGCTCTTGTCTTGTAAGTACATTCTTTTATTATTTTACATTCTTTTATTAACACTACTATACAGTGAGCACTATTAGTTGTCTCTTTTATTCCGAGAACTGGACACCAGCAACGGAGAGGAACCCACCTATATCCCATAAGCGGGGATAAAAACCGCTGTATGCGCTTTACTCCAGAGCTGGATATTAGCTCTGGTAAATGTGAGTTTTATACTATTACTGGATATTAGCTCTGGTAAATGTGAGTTTTATACTATTACTCCTTTATATTCACATTTGAATTTTACATACTGCACCATTGGTTGTCCTTCTCTCTTTTTATCTTTCATACCAAGTGGATCCACCACATCAGTAGAAGACCTCACCACCAAAGACTATTTGTAAGGATAAACATTGGTATCTTCTCCCTTTTTTGGACCTTTTATTGGACTTTTTATATATTTTTTTATTATCTATTGCGGCGCAGCCTTTTTTATTGTTTGTAATATTCACACCTACAACACTTGTTACAGATTGATATTTTCTACACTAGAAACTACCAGATAACAAGCTGCTATATTTAAACCAGTGATCAAGAGGTACTTCAACAATATTGTAATTCTAGGGCAATACCCTCACAAGTCAAACTGAGAGGTCAGTTTATAGGGAAAACTGTTGCCTGGAGGAAATTTTAAAACAATTTCCATATGTCCTTTGCAGACTTTACATACAGGTGCCAACTGCTGTGGCTTTCTGCAGTGTGCATACCGGCAAGGAGGGCAGGGTTCAGGAGTGGGTGGAAGATGATTTGGAGGATGATGAGGTCCTAGACCCCACATGGAATCATGGTCATGCGAGCAACGTGTGCAGTTATGAGGAAGAGTGCTGGTTGCACAGAGGCACCAGCACAGCATAAGAGGGAGCAGGGTGCAAAAGCGGAGCGGCTGTCCCCTAGCGCTCGTCGGCATGTATTAGCTCAAGAATTACCAGTTATCCAAGTAATACATGTAGCAATCAAAGGATCCATAATAGACTTGAGTGAACCTGAACTGCAAAGTTTGGGTTCGTACCAGATTTAACGATCCATTCGTAGTTTCACAGTGAGGTGGGCAGTCCGGTGACCAGGACCCAGACACTGTCAGGATGTGACATTCACTGTAGGGGCTGTGCGCTCTTTGGCATTGTCACCCTGCCGCTGCTCACCTGTCTGTGCTGCAGCGTAACTTCAGCCTTCCCGCTCACCACCTCATGAGACTTTGCGAGCAGCAGCAGGCGATAGGGGAGTTTCAGCTGCAGCATGCACGGTTCAGTTGCTCTGCACCAGACTTCCCTCCAATTGATCAGAGTTAAAGGATTTCAAGTGGACTCATTACAATTACAGGGCCTTTAAAGAGTCCTGTATTGTTATTTGTCGTCACTACTTTCCCGCGTCGGGAGTGGGTCATTTGCATACCTGCTGCCTTCCTTGCATGTGGTAGCCGTTTCTCAGGGTCCTTGTACGGAATGGAATCCTGATTCCCCGTTACCAGTGGTCACCATGGTAGGTGCAGAAACTGGCATCGAAAGTTGATATGGATGACATCCGCATGCAAAGTTGCCGCCACTGGAATGTGCGTTTTGCCCGAGGTTCTCTAGAGTCAACAAAGTTCCTGTGCAACTATAATGTCAACAGCTACTCTGCGGAACAGAGTTGTCTGTTATATTTTTTTGTTTGTTTGTTTTTTTATATGTCCCAATATTTTGGGGGCTACCCCAATTAAAAAAAAAATTTTTTTTTTTAAAAAGTGTTGGCTACCTCTTATTCCTCCTCCACCGCCTCATCAACCAATGGGTCACTTAGTATAAACTATGTACACAATAGCAGAGGCTTATGAAGGCCTTTTCTCCATGCATCAGGAGTTGAGCATTTCTCCATGCATCAGGACTGGAATAAATGCACCGCAGGCCGCAAATGTTTCTTTTTTTATGTCGCAATATTTTGGGGGCTACCCCAATTAAAAAAACAAATAAACAGTGTTGGCTACCTCATTCTCCACCTACAGCGCCACGATGACCGCCTCCTCAACTTATGGGTCACTTAGTATAAACTATGTACACAATATCAGACTTGTGAAGGCCTTTTCTCCATGCATCAGGAGTTGAGCTCAGTTTGAACAATGAAAGAGAATACCCTGGTATTCTAGTGATCCTCCTGACAACCATGCTTTAGATTTTGATTTTTGTTCTTACAAAGATAAATTCAAAGATTCCATCTAGTGCTATTTTATGGCTCAGCTGTATTTAAAATGTTTATGTTATTTTAAGTGATTTCCCTATCCACATTTGTTTGCAGGGCACTTGTCCTACTCTTATACCCATTTTAATTTCTTTTGCAGCTCTCTAGCCCTTTCCAGTAGTTTTTAGAGGCATTTTTGTGGCCAAAAGTTTAGGTCGCCATTGACTTCAATGGAGTTCGGGTTCGGGGTCAAGTTCGAGCCCGAACCCGGACTTTTTTTCAAAGTTCGGCCGAACCCGCCGGACCCGAACATCCAGGTGTACGCTCAACTCTAGGTGTGGTAAATAAAATAGTCCAAAATAGTCTATAAATAATTATGTGTACCCCTTTAAAATATATATATATTTGTACCTATTACTCATTTAAGTTGACATAGGGCACTAGATATCTGGTGGTCCAGTGAGAGGGGGCAGGCCACACACAGATCTCTGGTGGTCCAGCCAGCAGGTTATTTGGTCTGTACACACCACCACGCTGCACTGACCACGTCTCTCTCCCTCTCGCGAGTGCCGGTTTTTAAGAGCGTTGCCATGGGTTCCCAAGACACTGCTCTGATAATCTTGGAGCTCGAGGGAGGGAGAGAAGAAAGCTGTTCGGCACACATGGAGGGTGTCCAGTAAATACCGACTCACTGCCAAATATCCCATCCGGGATATCGTAAGCAGGTGATCATACTAGAAACAGTCAATACTACAGACTATCACCAGAATTTGAATCTAGTTATGAAAAATGTTTTTTAGAAGTAAGAATAGAGGGAAGAAAGAGCAGCTTAACTTTAGAGAATGAAGAAGTGGGAAATAATATAAAAAGGGAAGAACAGAATTGCACACATTGCTTTACAATATTGTAAGAGGGCGAAACTTAACAATAAATGAGACAAGTACTAAATGTTACAGAGACAGTAGGTTGATAAAACGCAATAGGATGGGGGATAGAAATAAAAAAAGGGGGAGTGAAGTAGAACTGAAGGAGAGAGTACTGCCCTCAAGGAGAGAGAAAGGCACAGATATGTGATATAAACATTACTAACCCAATACCCTCTCTACCCAAGATTTATAGAAATGAGGCAGAACCCCAAAGACGTCCAATAGTTTCAGGAATTAATTCTATTATTATCAAATCTATCCAAATACAAAGACATCAAACTCCAACAAATAGTACAACATACATCTTTTTTTAAATACAGTATAAGCTTGCTTCAATTAATCAATTAAAACTGTTACATTTTGGCTATTAGTGATGTATAATCTCTTTACACTATTATACCTCATGAAATAGGATGCAGAGGAATAATAAAAACATACTAGAGCAATAGAAGATAATGCCACATAAACAAATAGATTGTATAATATAGGGTATTGATATAATAAAAATAAATTATTACTTTTAGTTTTACTTTTATGGGTATCAGGTTTGCACCAAGTTACATAAATGTTTTTGTGGCCTTTTGGAACAATTTGACCATTTGGGACAGCCACCCTTGGACTGAACACCTGGTGATCCATGGTCGCTACATCGACAATCTGGTTTTTGTTTTTGTTTTTTTTTATATGGAATGGACCAGAAATATTTTTTTTGCTTAACATTAATAGAGGAATTAAACTTAAACAAAGAATATAGTAAAGAAAAAGTAATTTTTTTCTAAAGATTGTGCCAAAGAGTCAAATCATCCGGCTCAAGAAAAATTGCATGGATGTCCCTATATTTAAAGAGCAAGGGGGGGGATTTTTTTTTTTTTAAAGGAGACTAGTAGAAGAGAGGTCCAATGAAAAGAATATACAAAAACTAATTGATGACATAGTAGAACTAAAAAGGGAAGAGCTCATCAAATATAAAGATAGGTTACAGAATTTCAACAATTTTAATTTACCGATACTGTTAGATTTTAACAATAAAACAACACATTAAAAATATATATTAACAAACACTGGAAGATATTGAAAGAAGATGAGATTGTATGAAATAATATTCAGGATAAACCAAAGATTGTCTCTAGAGGTGCCCCAAATCATATCTTTCCTAACACAAAGCTATACAAAAAAACAAACCATAAAGAAAGAGAATATATTTTTAAACCGAAGAGGCTTTTCTAAAAAAAAATTAAAGCATGTAGTGCTTGCAAATTCACTATGAATAACTAAAAAAAAAACAACAAAGAGAAATCCAATCAAATATAATAGGAAAGGAATACAAAATACTTGATTGTATTACTTATAACTCTAAAAATGTAATTTACCCTCTCGAATGCCAATGTGGCTTACTACACATAGGTATGACAACTAGGTATTTGGAAACCAGGACGATGGTGAATTATGGAGAAATATATCAAGCATTGTTTCTAAATTATAGAGTATTAAAGAATTTCTTAGAGCACTTTAATTATTCCCAATGGTGTAAATGTAGTGTAAAGAACATTTTATGAGAAGTTGTATTCTTTATATAATTTTTTTTATTCCTCCCTAGATAATTTTTTTCCCTCTATTTTTTTTTCTTATTATTACCTGTTTTGGTTAACAACTGTATCATACCCTTTTGGCTGACCACTACATTTAACATTTTCCCATACTATATGTGATAGGTATGAATTACTTTTTTCTTTTATGTTCCAAGTTGCCCTTTTTGAAATTACTTCCATTAACGAGAGACAATTTACAATTAATCACCATCTCTTTGTAGTTATGTTATTTGCAATTTTTATTCTTATGCTACTTCAATATAGTAGAACACTTTTTACATCTTTTGTATATAAACATAACCTTATCTCATGTTACACTCTCTGTCGGAGTTCATGATTACATGGTTGGTGCCTCTCTAAAACTGGCATGAACTACATTCCCCATAAGCACCTGCTTGTTATATTGATGATCACGTGATCGCTATCACTACATGTGATCAGGTTTAAATACTGAGCTTCCCACAATACTTTGACATCCTCTGATCATATGATTTATAATATTAACAACTTAGTTTCCTGCATGCTTATAACCCTTGTAAGGAGGCTAAATACTATTTTTATATTTTTCTTTGAAATATTATTCAGACTCTGTGATGATCCGCCATGTTGTGGTAGCCTGTTTTCTGAATAATAAAAAAAGACTCTCTGGCATTATAGAGATAAGTAATTTACGCATGTGATCAAAGCTAATATATTTGGTTGAATTGATTACACACGTTTCTGAATATTCTATATGTTAAAAAAAAATGTTTTAATCTTATCACACAGTGTTTAGGTAAGAAGTAATTTTTAGCTTTCACCTTGGACCCTTGTTTCTCCATGACTACACTTAATCAGCAATATATTGGTGGTGATACTATCCACTAATGACCTATGGGTTGAGCAATCCCATATTGGGATATTAGGATTTCTCTTCATTAATATACTGATGTATACCTACTGAGAGCACTATATTATTGTATATTGTCTTGCATGTTCACACTGATGATATCTGAGATAATATTATCCTGGGGATTATACCACTTCATGCTGTTTTACTGGAGCCATACATGAGTACTTAATGTTGTTATGAGTATCTATATATTGAAACATACTACAATATATCTATATATTGAAATATACTAAATATACTACACTATATAATTCATATAGTTCATGTTAATTTTGTCATCCATAATGTATACCCCATGTAGAACCACTACCAACAAAAAGTAAAATATAATGGAAAATGTATTCATACTTACCGTAATTTTCTTTTCCTGGACATAGGCCATGGCAGCACAACATTGGGTAGCTCCTCCTTATCCCAACTGGACAGAATTAATAATTAAGTAGTATAAGTACCACCTCCTACCCCTCCTTCCCCAGTCTTGTTTCCAGCAATAATACTAGGTGGGACCTTTGTGCTGCCATGGCCTATGTCCAGGAAAAGAAAATAACGGTAAGTATGAATACATTTTCCTGGCCATATCAATGGCAGCACAACATTGGGTAATACCCAAGCAATAACCCAGGGAGGGAAGAAGACACAGACTCGAAAAATTTTGAATGCAAAGTGTATTAGCACCACAATTAAGTGACAAATATCAAAAGAGAAAATCACGTATCAGATACTGAAAGAACGGATTTAGCAAATTGATCTGATAGTCCTGCTCTGACATCAATCTGGTAACTCCTAATGAATGTATTGGTTGAAGACCACATGGCTGCCTTACAAATGAGTTCAGGAGAGGCTGCGGCTGCCCAGGAGGATGAGAGGGCTCTAGTGGAATGAGCTTTAAGACCCACAGGGACCGGACATTCTGAAGATTGATAGGCTTGTTTCATAGCCGCCACTATCCACCTACTAATGGTTCTTTGGGGGCCTGCATGCCCTTTCTACCACCGTTATGAAGGACCAAGAGACTCTGAGAAGAGCACCAAGCGGCAGTTCTTTCAATATATATTCGAAGACATCTCACTAGGTGCAATGAAGATAGGTCTGCTTTACCCTCTTCTCTGTTCAGACCTCAGAGATGGAAGAACAATTTCTTCGTTGATATGATATGAGGTGACTTTCGGCCTGAACCCAGGAACTGTACGGAGGATAACTCTGTCCTTGTGAAAAACCGTAAAGGGCTCTTCAATG